GAATGAACAGAGATCAAAGGCAAGGGCCAACTGAAAAATTAGCTAGTGCTCTGTCAGGTTTAGGCTAAAGAGGTAGACAATTTACCACCCTTAGGTACCCATAATGGCAAGAAAATATTTTCATCAAACTAAATTCCAGGCAGGAGTGGCTAAGCCTCCTTTGCAAATGACAGCTGACAGTGCAGGAAGGACTCCGTTCTCTTCTGGGCTTCTTTTGGCTACAGAGATTGGCTCCAGAGGCAGCTTAACTACCGAGCTGGTTTTTAACCGACAACTGAAAGTCATTCCACATTTTCCACTATCCTGAGTTGTGGCAGTGACAGCTTCTCTAGGAAAATGCTACCAAACTCATATGACAAATTTGAGTGAGTGTAACAATTGCAACTATAAAGTAACATCTCACTATGGTAATTAAGCAATTTTGTTTCTAAGAAAAGCTACTTCGGGAACAAGTTAGGTACTTCATTGTAATTCTTAGTGTACTGGCAAATTAGAATAAATTAGGTTTGTTATCAAAGGCTCAGTAGTAGAGAGCTGTCCATACTCTGCTCAGCTAAGTCCTTCCTGCACAAAGGCATTACTGAGGGAATGTCCAAGGCTCCTCCACCTCTTCCCCATCTTGTTTGTTAGGATGACTGCCTGCTACGTTTTTGTAATCTGTCTTGTGCAAAAAGCTTGGCTGTTGGCTTATCACTCAAATTTCAACAAGACAGACAAGTAGCCTGCTTTTCATCTGATCCTTGTCCTTTGACTTACCTCACTCAAACAGCCAATAGTTGAAATTTCCATCAGTACTGCTGTGTGAGTCATTTCACACAAACAATCCACATCTTTAAAGGGCAGTCACCAGACAGGGGGATAAAACAACAGAATTTTATCGTAGCCAAAGAGAACTGCTGCTGGTACCTATTGGGAATAAGAGTAATATAACTGGAAATAAGAATAATGTGAATGTAATAGAAATCTGACAATAGCACATGAAATAATGTTGATGTGCAATCTGAAGAAAACTAGCAATTGAAGGGAATGATTCCAGGCTGGGAGGAGATGCCTTAAGAGTCCCACAAGCACATAAAAATGACTTGGTTTTGAGTTATCACCTCAAGCTAGCTCAATTTGAAAGACAGGACTCGTGATTACAAACTTATCTTCATTACAAAGTTGTAATTACTCTTTGGGGGAGAAGGGAACCAAAGGGTAGAGGGCAACAATCCAACTGAAATGTATTTTCATGAGATCTGCTGCTCTCGGGACAAGACACTCAGCACTAGAATAAAGCTTTTTCACAGTTAGCATGTAATACCAATGCTATGGTATTACATGCTGTAAAAAACAAAAAACCAGGAAATATGGTATTACATGCTGTAAAAAACAAAAAAACAGGAAAAGGGAATTAATTACTCTGTGGGAAAAAAAATACGTAAGTGCAGTAAAAACAATGCAGAACGAATAGGCTTCAAATTCTAGATCTGGAAACTGATTATTCAAAACTGAAGTTGTTTTAGATCACTTCCTGTTTCTGACAGCATTTAGATTTTTTAGGGTACTAGCAAATTATCATGTTTACTAGGGGATGAGTACCACAATGGCAGGTGTCAGATTTATCATATATTTGATGGTTAACTATAAACCGAGTTATTTTTGCTAAAACAAATATCTATTCTATAATTGCCCATCTCTCAAATCTCAATTCAAAAAAAATGGGAATATCTTGAATGAAATTTATTGTTGTAGCAGATAAATATGGATGCTAATAAGACACAAGTGGATTACTTGCACGAATTCTTAACAGGAGCATTAACTTACGAATATTATTATTATTGTCTTGCACCTAATGTCTGTACCTAAAAAACCTTGGGCAAATCTGCCTAGAACCTAGATATGTAACTAACAATGAGGGCATATTACACTTTCCTTCATTTTAAACAGGTACTACTTTTTATAAAAAAAAAAAAAAAAAAAAAAAGATTTATTCAAATCAATGGTAGCTTATCCATTGATTTCAATGGATTTCAATTCAAATCTGCCTGGAAAGCTATATGGATTTGGAAGCACAGACCCAAGGAGTCACCTAAGAGTATAAGATGGGTTCTCATGATCTAAAGCCAAGGCAGAAGATGAAAACAAAAAAAGTAAACATCATTAATGGCTTTGAATTCCTTTTTTTTTCTCTATGAACATCCAAAGGATAAATATAGACAAGAAAAATAACAATAATCACATATTAGTGTTACTTTTGAATAGGATCTACTGATTTATGCTTGCTTACCTATAAAATATTTCATTCTTTGTGAGTGCAAAGTAACCTGATTTTATAACTTCTTAGCCCCACAGCAACACCTAAATTCTGAACAATAGGACAAAATCTACAAATGCTGATGTGACAAAGTGATTATTCTTTTTTCCACAGTCCTGCCATACAATCCCTATTACTGCCTATGTATATTTTCATACAGAAAATAGTATCTCAAACTATCCCAATACATCTTTATATAAGGTAGAATCACAGAATGATATGGGGTTGGAAGGGACCTCTGGAGATCATCTACTCCAACCCCCCTGCCAGAGCAGGTTGCACATGAACATATCCAAGCGGGTTTTGAATGTCTCCAGAGTCAGAAACTCCACCACCTCCCCAGGCAGCCTGTTCCAGGGCTCTGCCACCCTCAAATTGAAGAAGTTCCTCCTCATGTTTAGATGGAACTTCCTATGTTCAAGTTTGTGCCCATTTCCTCTTGTCCTGTAGTACATCTTTTACTTATTGCATTTCTTCTAGAAGTTATAAATGGCACAAGGAGGGAAGCAATACTGGAAAGTTATGAAAATATTTTCTCTACATACGTATGCTGGAATAGGTGTGGTTTGACTTTATAAGTGTATTTAAAACCTGAAACAGACAGGGACAAGGGAAGTTACTAGGCATGAAGACTAGAGACCTACAATGGAAAAGTCAGAGACAAGAGGACCTTTAGGAAATCACTGCTCTCCTCCATTAATCCCGTTAAAGATGATCAAATAACTGGACACATGTACTGTGAAAGAGAGTGAAAGTATATGGGCCATAATGATTCTTTGGCACTGAGTTTGCCCCTTCTGGAATTAGTACTAATCCCTGTGACTGATGACAAACTAGTGAAACTGATCCAGACATTCTCCAAGAAATCTGAAAATCTCCTATTGGTAAAACATTCAAGAAGTTTTACATATTCATCAGTTTTCTACCTACTTCAGGTGTTCTCATATAATATGGAAATAAAGAAGCATAAGGAAACCCAATAAAGAATATTTCAATTCTGTTGGTTTCCTTTAGACTTGCCCTGGTTATCACTGGGGTTCTTCTTACAACATTGCTATTCTAATTCTGATTTCAGAAAAACAATGTTTTGGAAAACACAGTGTGGAATTTCAGTGCTACCATGTTGGTTTCCTTTAGACTTGCCCTGGTTATTACTGGGGTTCGTCTTACAACATTGCTATTCTAATTCTGATATCAGAAAAACAATGTTTTGGGAAACACTGTGTGGAATTTCAGTGATGACTGCAGAAGGGCAGACCTTCGGTTCCCTGAATAAGCACAGATACACTGAATGGAAATTTCATGGAAATTTCTTGATTTAAATTGCTGATCTGCTAACTCCTGTGTTAACTCACAAACAGCATCATGTTTCAATCCTGAATAAAAGGATTTTTTAATACTGAATATGAAGAAAAGTATTACTGTAAAAAACATACCCTTTTTTACTATGGAAAAAAAATTAGGATGTCAGATTAAAGAATATGTGGTCAGGTATTCAGTATGTTATATCAATAACACAATATGGACATAAATGTAGCCCATATCTCCCTGGTTTTATGGAAATACAAAAATTTCTTTAAATGTGATTCTGGTTAATACTTATCAGCATTCCCCCTAATAGTGGAAGAAATTTTGAATAGTGTTCCTATGTAATTAATATTATCAATGATCTTGCAAGCCATTATTTGGTCATTGTTAAATGAAACAAAACAGAGTGATCAGGGAAGTTTGTGGAAAATATGTTAGTTCAGGGTTCAGCCCAGAAATCAAAGCAGTAGTCATGCTAAGAAAAATGTGAAAAACATGTGAAGTATGTGATTTGGAGTATGTAAAATAGAAAATTTCTTTGTTTCCCTTGTTCTTTGCATCTCTAAGAGAGATCAAATGACACAAAACAAGACTCGTTTTTCTTTTACTGTCTGTCTTAATGCCTTCCTGTTGCTCTTTTTTCCTATGCTTTTAAATTTTAATTACTTAAACTTTTTAATGATTTTTAGCACGTTCTTCTAAATTTATCAGCATACATGGATTGCCAATACAATTATAGGACAGCAACAAGAATGCTATCCTACCTGAGGACACAGGAACTGAGAAAGCAAATGAGATGTTTTTGTGCTTTAAGCATACATTTCTCTTGGGCTTTTTATTGCTTCTACATTGCCTAAGGAAAAGCGCACATTGCTCTCTCTCAATCTCTGTATGAACCAGTTGCAGTCTAGGGCTCTTTGGCAGATGATCCAAAGTCAGTCTATGTCTAGTGAAATAAATCCATGCAGATTTATCAGGTTCCTGTAGCCTTTGGACAGATGACTAATAATCCTGACAGCTTGGCTGTTAATTTTTTAATTAGAGATAAATCCAATATTATGTAGCAGAGTGAGAGAGGATCCAGTTGCCCTGTTGTTTTTCATCAGGTTGTACTCTAACAGGATTAACTGACTCTTTGAGAAATAGTTGCTCTACCAGTACACATATGGCTGACCGAGTGTCTCACAGTTTTAAAATAATATTCAGTGAAACTTCTTTTTCTTCCAGCACTGCCTTCATGGGGGCTAAACTACCCAATGAGCACAATGCCATCGGAACTCCAGGAAGACAAGTATCTCTGCTTTTATCCTTCTCCAAACCCTAAGCTTAGACTGATTCTAGATACAACCTAATCTCTGACGGTTTCTTATGTGTAGGTTTTTGCTTCCTTTTACAGATACATGGCCATTATTGATCCCTTGAAACCCAGACTCTCTGCAACTGCTACCAAAGTGGTCATTGGGAGCATATGGATTTTGGCTTTCCTGTTGGCCTTTCCCCAGTGCCTATACTCCATTACCAAGGTGATGCCTGGAAGAACTCTTTGCTATGTAGCATGGCCAGGTGGTCCAAAACAACATTTTACGTAAGCTTTTGTTCCTTTTAACTTGTGCATGGTGGTGTCTACACTTGCAATGGACTTGGAAGAAGCTGTACAGTATCATGCAGATACTCTATATGCAGAATAAGTAACAGCATTGACCATTGAGAAATGTAAAGTGGGTTTTCTAAGCTAGAAAGACAGCGCATTTTAAGTGATAAGTGGAACATGTGTTCTACTTCTATGAGTGTTCTTCATCCCATGCTGCATAATAAGTAACAGCATTGACCATTGAGAAATGGAAAGTGGGTTTTCTAAGCTAGAAAGACAGTGCATTTTAAGTGATAAGTGGAACACATGTTCTACTTCTATGGTGTTCTTCATCCCATGCTGCACGGTTACCATCATTACTTCACTTAAGATGGCTACTCCTATACAGACAGAGATGGTCAGAAACGGGGACAGAACATGCAATTCAAAGCAAGCTTTCTTTTCATCCTAGTCAGGAAAATAAGTATTTCCAGCACCTCATTGTCCTAATCAGAATTTTTTGTCTGGGTCTCTTTGTCAGAGACTTGCATTTCCCCACTTTATTCACAATTACTTATGTCACATATCAATTCAAATAAAAAACATGTAATTGGTTCCAGTCTCTGAAAGTGTAGAATAGTAGTCAACTACATTGAATATATCCTATTTCTCCCTCTGGCAGAATTAGTAATAAGTGGTTACCTCACCGTAGAAACATTATTTGACCTTTCATGTCTTCATTGGCATATAAGATAAACCCTGTGCCCAAGGCTGAAAGCCTGGTTTACCATCCAGCATCAAATTTGACATTTTGCTCTCTTTCAGGCAGGTGAAAGAGGCCCTAATCATATATAATTTTTATGACTTTAGGAGCCATGCACATATTCTCTAGGGCTCTGAGGTCGCTCTCACTGATGGCTGGGGATCCTTCACTGATCATTTGTTGGGCTTTTACCTGAAAATGGCATTTAACCAGGAACTAACAGGAGGCAAAAGAATTTATCTTTTTTTTTTTTTCTTCCCAGTGCTTACATCAGCAGCAATGGCCATGTTGCATATGGGCAACAGATCTGCCATATGAAGCACTTTGGGTAACACAGGACACTTATCAGGGCCCTACCATTCAAATACTTATTTTCTTCTTTCATTTATGGTCCAGACTAGAGCCAAAAAAACCCTAGCTTGCCCTTAAAATACTCAGCTGTGAAATAATTAAATCAATTCATGGACAAACTATAACTATGGACAAACATACCTTATTCTGCTATACACATACATACTATGACACTATAGTGTCTTTCTTAATTTATGCTAGTGCAAGTTTAGAATCAGAACTACAAACCCCATAAAGGACTTGCATTAAAATGTATTCAAATTTGAGTACAATTCTAGACTTTCAAAAAGACAGTGAAAACACCCAGTACTAGCCAGTAAATAGAAAACATGCTTTGTGCTACAATAGAACTCTTGACTTTGAGTAGCCCACTCCATTGGCATAGCTCCTCCGAAAGCACTTATCGGCTCAATGCTTTTTCATTGCAGGTATCATGTCATTGTGATTGTGCTGGTCTACTGCTTTCCACTGCTTGTCATGGGCGTCACTTACTCCATAGTGGGAATTACCCTCTGGGGAGGAGAAATACCAGGCGACACGTCCAACAAATATCACGAGCAGCTCAAAGCTAAGAGAAAGGTACTGTTCCATTCAACCTCACTAAGCGAATCCTGATGACACCATCTGCAATTGTGATGCAGTATATTCACAGAATATATCACAGTATATATACATTCAGAAACACCAAGTCCTGATGACACCATCTGCAATTGTGATGCAAAGTATCACAGTATATTCATTCAGAAACACCAAATGACTCAAAATAACAGTAATGAGAGACCTACTTCAATAAAAAAATTGATTAGGCTTGACAAGTTGTCTTCTATGTTCACTAGCTGTTATTTTTTGAACTTTACAGTTCATCATTAAATAAAGTTAGCATTTGGATTTTAGCTTCTTACTCCACATGTAATGTCATAGAGTGTGTCTGATATGCGGAAACTAAGCCCAAATGTTTAGCCTTTACAGCGCTAAAATACTGACTTTTGAACAATGAGCTAACCAACAATTAGATCCTCCTGGGCCAGATTCTTATCCTATTGAAAAAAAGGAAATCTTGCTGTAATTTTCAGAAAGAAAAGATAGGTTAAGAAAAAGAATGTTATAAGAAAGAAACCTCCATGGCGCTGCAACATCATGAAAACTGAACTGAAAATAATCAAACAATAAATTCATAAACAATCCACAGTCTTGTTAGATTACAAAATGCTTACAGTGAAAAATAGTGAAAGAAAATAGCTGGAAAAATTAGTCTGTATTTTTCACCAAAAGTTATTGATTTATAACCTAATTTATTCAACATGAACAGGCCAATCAGTAAGCAAAGATGCATGGACCTTCAGTCCAAACATGGAGTTCTAACTCACAATGATGAGCTCATTTTCAATTGCTCAGTTTGCTTCCTAATGCTGTGAATATGTTTGAACAGCAGTACATAGTACCACGCTGTAGCAATAGCAGAGTGCAGCATATTGGGTCTTGAGACAATAGGACATCTGCAAATACTAAAGAACACTGATGTTTCCATTTCTTTCAGGACACTGCCAGGAATATGAAAGGGTTTTTTCCCCGCATACTATAGAGAAAAAGTTGTTTTGCCAGAGGATATATAAAAGGAAAGATTAGTATTATTTTCTCATTCATACTTCTTCAGACTCATAAGACACAAGTGCAAAACTTTCTATGGAGAGTTTCAGTTGTTAGAATGAAACCAAAGGTGTTATTTATTGTTGCCTTAACACAGCTTTTTATAAGATTTTTAGCCTCTCTTAAGGAAGCAAAATACAGTTTGACTAGTATTATCACTACTACTGCCTTGTACGTGTTCACAGATTATTTTGACTGTGAATGGAGAGAAAATGATGAAAAGTCATCATGGAAAACTGACCAGCATGATTTGCATATTTGCCCCAAGATGAAATTACTGAAATGCTGAAAGCATTTCAAAAGATCAGCATTTTACTCTCTAAGGTTATTTGTAAATGTCCAGCATTACTATCACAGCCTTTGGCATGCATGTTGTTGCTTACCCAAAAGTGTATTTTCAAAGTTACAAAATTACCTTTCCTACAGAACATAAGCAGAAAATTATTTCACTGGTCAATTAACCGTGGTGTTACCAATACTGCCCTTTCAGCCAGTGAAAAAAAAGGAAGGAAATATGTAGTGGAGGGTGCCGAGGTCTAATTGTAAAGACAAACTGAAAAATAACTTTCTGTAATAGACAGTTTGCAAAAGCAAGCATGGAAAGAAAATTATTAAAAGCTAACTTGGAGAACCAGGAGATCCCAGACTTCAGCACCTGTTATCATAATGGCTAAGTAAAATAAATATATCATAAAATCTAAAGGTCTCTGAATGGAAAAGGTGGCTTTCACTATATGCTATGAAAGGTTCAACTAAATCCTTGAATACCTTAAAAACTGCACCTCTTTTGAACTCTAAATACATGCAAGAGACAAGATGTAGCATCCTTAATTAAAGGATTTTAAACGTGAGAGCATGCCTTCAACGCATGCAACAATGGGATTGAATTATGTGCAGATATTTTATAACTGCATCAGTGACTTTATTGGCAGAGCTCCATGACAGCTTTTCAATTCCACTGCTGTGCTCTCTGGCAGAATTTATGAAATAACTGGTATTTGGTAAGATGAATCATAATTGGTCATTCATGGAGATGAACTAATAGACTAGAATCCAAATAAAGCTGTCACTCTGCCTGACTGATAACAGAGCTATTGCGTTTCCTTTGTTGAAACAAAGAAATCATCTGTTTTTCTTGCTATTTTGCATGCAGATATGTAGACACATGGAAAGTCTACACTGGCTGCACTTATAATAAAGGAGAAATAAAAAATAGCTGACTGCATGCTTCATATTATGCAATGATAAAGTGCAAAGGAAGTTTCATTAGGATTGTTTGAAATAGTATTTAATGTCAAGAAGGTAGAGAGCAGCTCATGGAAGACCTTTTAAAGAAACCGTGGTTGCCAAGAAAAGATTTGAAGCTTGAGAAAATTGTTAGTAGTTTGATAAATGGTCTCATCGCTTCATATGTGTGAGTACGCAATGCACCCTGAATCCTTCTGAAAGCAACATTAAAGAAGGCAAAGAACTTCACTATATGCATTACAGGTTGGGCAACACAAAGTCATACTTAGTATCTTCAAGGGTCAAAGACTTCAAATTTTTAGAAATTCGGGACTGCATGAGACCACTATTACTTCTTTGTTGTTTTTTTTCTTGACACATCAAAGGTCTCAGGGACTGACCCATTTAAAATTGCCTGACATTAGCCTTTTGAACTAAGGTTTTGATTTAAGAACCAACTACTCCTATTGGGAAAACAAAAGAAGATATGAATATTTTGCTTCCCCCCAAACCAAACTGCATCTCTGTTTGGAAGTGTAGAATTGTGCCCCCCCCCAGCCCCGTCACTTATTCCAGGTCATGAAGGAGACAATTGTAAAATAAATGATGGTGTACAAAAGCACTAGATCGGCTTTTTCACTTTTTTCAGAACTAGATCTCAGGTGGATAACATCTCCAGTGATGTCGATCCCATAACAACCCCTCAAAGTCATTTTCTAAAGAACATTCTTATGCTACTCCATGCTGAAGACCAAGACAATAATACAAGTTCACCTACCTTTATTTGTCATCTAGGTTACTCGTAATCTAGTTTGAGCAGTAGACCTTAACATACTGTCTGACATCTAACAATCTCCTGTGAGAAACTGCTACTCCATGCTGAAGACCAAGACAATAACACAAGTTCACCTACCTTCATTTGTCATCTAGGTTACTTGTAATCTAGTTTGAGCAGTAGACATTAACATATTGTCTGACATCTAGCAATCTCTTGAGACATCTCTTTTACATAAAGTAACATAAGACTTGTGCCAACTTCTCCTCCCCATCCCCAGTCAGATGCCTGTAAAATCATGTCTTCTAAAGGAAAGAAGACTAAACAAAAGATTTTCATTTTCTTCAATGAAACAGATATTTCTTGACGTGTTGAGAAAAGCCCACAGTCATTGCCAAAGCTGTGTTTCATCCAACATTAGAAAAGCATCATTTAAAAATGCAGTGCCTAGACCATTAATGAAACATGTCAGAATTGATTTGTCTTGGGGGGAACCCCACATTTTAGCATTTATAAGACAGCAATCTGATTCAAAGCTACTTCATACTAAAACAGAGTACCTTTTTCCACTTTACAGCTTGAATAACAAAGTGATTGAGAATTCTGTCTGCAGCAAGGGGTTATGCAAACTAAAATGAAAAGTAGTTTATTTATTTCAAGCAACTGAGAAAAAAAATGGATGGAAAGTATAAGTCAGAAGAATGAAATGATTTAGTGAGCACTGGAATTGACAAGTACCTTACCTGACTGAAAGACCTCCAAGCTCTCTGATTCTTTCTTTTCAAAACATGCATCTCATTCACCTCTTGAGGACCTACCCTTTCTATGGGCTAAAAGAGCATAGAAAATGCTCTTATCTTGTCAAAATATATGAAACCCCACAGCATTTGGTATCTCAGAAATCAGTCCTATCTCTGTACTAATACTAGTAGTGTTATCTTTGAATCCTAATTTTCTTGCAGAAGACAAATACTTTACTCCCACTAAGTGTTGTGGAGAAGCAAAAGACATAATGGTGTTCCCTTCTCTCTGGTGCTTAGTGCTCAAGTGTCACACGTCTCCAGGATTGGGAATTGGTTTTCCTGACAGCATCCTAACATGTTGAGAGAAATATTTTGTGCAATGTTAGTTTGATAATTTAATTCTTCCCAAAGAGCACAGAGCAGAAAGAGAAACACATTATGACTCTCAGAGATTATCTCTGAACTGCATTTAAGCTGTATTGATGGACAAATAACATCCATGAGTGGGTAAATGAAGACATTCTTACACTGTATGTGTTCTTACAGTATTTGTTCTGCTTCTCATTTACATCTGCATAACACGTATGAGCAAAAGTTCTGAAACAAATGAAGTTATAGTGTGTGATATCAGTGCAAATGAAATCAGAATCCAAATTCCGGACCTTGTAAAAGCAGCAATATCAAAGATTCCTTACAATGACAATAAGGAGCTGCAGAGCAGATTGAAAAGGAAATGATTCAGTGGACTAAGTCTTAGGTATTGATGGCAAATCAATGTCTTGCAATATGAATTGCTATAAGCCCCTAGCAGCAACCGAGTCTCTCAGAAAGGTATATTTCATTCCTAATCTTTCAAGAGCTGTTCTCAATGCTACATCTAAACCAGACTCATTTTTCTAGCTATTTTTCATGCAAAATAAAAACAGGAGGAAAAAGAAATACATTTGCTGTTCTTTCCAAGTGTAGCAGAGTCTGTTAGCTCCTTTTCACTTTTACTGCTTCAAATGTTTCACAACAAAGGCAGACCTGCCAACTCTAATTCAAATGAACTTATGTCTGTTTTGTTCTTTCAAATACATTTTTTCTCATTATATGCCTTTCATTAATGAAAGGCTGCTTCTTACTCAGAGATGACGGATTTAAAGGAAGGGGCAAGACTCAAAGCACATAAATTTACTTTTTTTATAAACATAGTTTTTCTTAGACATAGACAGAAGCACAACAATATCAGCAGAACATGTTGATGAAAATCAAAATATAAACCACTTTGATTTTCCATCATATTCTGTTGATGAAAATCAAAATATAAACCACTTTGGAATATGATTTTCCATCATATTCCAAATCTAGCTTCAAGACTTGCCTAAAGGTTGCACAACTGAGAAACTTGGTACAACTCATTTTAACAAAAGTCCTGGAACAGAAAAAGACCCCTTTCCTCTGACCATGCTGCCCACCATACTCCAAGGGAGACTGACCAGAACACCAGTGAAAAACAGTGCCACTGGGACACAGGTTGATGTTCACTGTAGTCATACATTCTGGAAATCTCTGCAGTGAAATGGTGGCACGAACAGAGCTAGACATTAAGCACAACTGAATTCAGTAATTTTCTGGTTTGGTTGCTTTAGAAATGTTTCCTAATGCACAAAAGCAAACCCTTATTAATGAACTCTATGCAACACGGAGCAGAAGAGAAAGTAATTGCAAAATGGGAATGTCTCAAAAAAAATAAAGCAGAACAGGCATATTAAAAGCAAATGAAATAATTTTGTCTGTCAGAGCCACAAGTCTAAGTACGCCAAAAGAACCCAAAACCCATTGAGGCTCTTTTTTTATACTCTGAAGTTGAACCTGCAAAGTGTCATTGGAGATCTTTAAGTGAAACATTATAGTGTCCTGGGAAAAGACAATCAGGCTTTTGTTGAAAATTTGTACTTGGTCTGTTTTACTTACTTTCCCTGTGCCCAAAATCAGAGTAACAGTTTAGTGGCACACACTCATTCATCAGGATTTACACCAGTAAGATCAAGATGTCCTGGGTTTATAGCCCTTGAAGGCAGTTTCTGTTCATAGATATTGATATCATCAAGAAATGAAACTTAACACTGGAAAGACCAAGGGGGTGGAGAAGGAACTGCAGCCATAAACTGTAAGGTACGGCCTTGCACACAGTGCATGGTTGTATCTGAAAGGGGAAAGGAAACTGGGAATAATCTTTCTCCTTTTCAGCATCGTCTTATTCTTCTTTTCCTGCATTTCTGCCAGCACATACTTATTCTTAGCTGATGAAACAAGGACAGGATAGTGCTTTTGATTCATGTCAGAACTTTTGTGGTTCACTTCAAATTCAACTGTAATTGCCCTATGTTTCGCACAATTTTATGTCATGCGGATTTGCAAAATCTCACTTATCTTCTCCTTACGTAATATGTCGATGAGTGCATTGCACTACATAAATACTCAAAAGAATTACGACTTAACCTTGACTTTTCTTAAATGGCCCTTTTTGCTGGAAAAAATAGCACTTTTTTGGTCCAGGAAAAAAACACATTATACATTAATAAGGAAACTGCAATTGCATGTCCCTAAACACACATATATCAGTATATTACCATTCACTTCAGTGAAACTGAGACTGATACATCCTTATCTGAAAGAAAAATGATACTTAAGATTTCTAGGTATTTTCTGTTATTTGTGAAAAACAGATGAAAACCTGTATGATTAAGAACACAGTGTGCTTCACTGACTGTCATTCCAGTGACTTGTTACTTCACAAATTAAATCAAACACCAATTTCCATCTAAAATCATCTTTTGTTTGTTGACTAGTCTGAGTATTTGCTTCAGAAATTTCTTCTTTCAGTATGATGATGACTTAATATCTAATCACAGATTTCCAGACAGAAACAGCAGCAAAAAAATTTTACATTGATTTCACTGTTTTTAAAGATGAGTGCTTTGTTAAAAAAAAAAACAACAGTAACCTTGCAGGAAAATATGTGACAAAAAAAAACAAACAAACAAAAAAAAAACCAGTAACCTTGCAGGAAAATATGTAATTTTATGGGGGGCATTTTTAATTTCAAAACTAAAAAATATCCCCAAACGTTAAAACATTTAAAATAAGAATTGGATTGCCTGAAAATGTGATGCAAAAAAAACTTCAGTTGTGGATTTTATTTGGGTCATACTAGTTATTTTAGTATTTCTGTTTCCCAGAATAAAATCTGAAATACTCTATTTAGGTTAAATCTAAACTTAATTCATCATGCATTAATTTTTGAGTGCAGCAGATGAAATCAAGACATTATTATTTGTACAGTCTGTGAAGATTTATTAGCTTTAGGAGGCCTTTAAGTAGTCTCTTGAAACACTGCTTGCCTTGCCCTTCAATATAATACAGAAAACTGGCCAATAAGAATTTGGATGTTAGAAAAAAAGACAAACAACTTTCTTTTGAAAATGTTAACACAATTTAGTAGGCCAAACTGGCAACATGCACTCTTAGTGTGATTTCTAGCAGCTCTGGGACACGAGCAACACAGTGTTCAACTAGATTAAACTACATTTATTGCTGGAAAGCTCTGCTGTTTCAGTACTTAACCCTGATCTCCCTTCTGCAATAATTTGCAGTTAACTGATGAAAAGTGCTTTAGAAGAACCAACTATTAAAAGTGCTGTTGTAAGTGTGGACAGATGTCACTTTAACCGATGATTGATATACGTATCAGAAATAAGTATTCTCATAAGCAAAATCTTGTGCTAGTCCCAGGAAAGCTTGTAAGCTGGTACCAGATATTAAATTAAAAATTGCTTTATGTTTCGCACAGGAAAATGCAATATGAGTTAAGGACAGCACCATGACATTTATATGTAAAATTATTTAATGACTTTAGCTGAAATTTTATAACAATACCTACCAAAGACTAGAGGACAGATAGAGGAAATTTTTGCTTTCTTAACCCCCCACCCCCCTCATTCCATCCCCCTCTGGCAAAACTACAAACACTAAGAAACAGCACCTTGTACAGAGAAATGAAAGGTAGGGTTGATAGCATCCTGTATTATTCCTCATTATTCACAGTACAAACGAACAAGAGACCTCCCAGCACAGATACATCATGTCTGGTTTCATTTTGCTTACAAATAGAAAATCTGTTGTGTAAACGTGTGACATACTGTGTTGAAAATGATAGCGGGGCTAGTAGTTCACATAGCTGAAGAGGGAAAGACAGGAGGGAAAATTTTACATGACTCACCATCTTTCTTCTTGTGCTTCAAGCACAAAACAGAGCTCCTCTTCATTTGTGCTTAATGGAAACTACGGTAGGTAACAGATGTCACGATGCCTGCAGAAAACGACAAATAATGATCACCAGCCAAGGAAACTGTTAGCCTCTGAAATTAAACAGGATACTGCAGTTTCTCATTTCCTACAACCTGGTGTTTATTCAAATCACATCTAATAATTGGAGACAAGGAATATACTGGTGACCACAACAGACACCTGGGTCACTAAAGGCCAAAATGAGGTGTCCAAATAAAACATTACATAACTTCATTCCATGATCATGTGTACAGAAAAAAGTAATATTTTAGATAGCCAAATATAAGTAAGCAAATATATTACTTGGAAGAATCGATACAAATAAAGTTAGAGAAGATTTTCATGTTATTTTCCTTATGAAAAGGAGGATTTCCAGCCTACATAAATAATTTCAAACCCCAGAATTTTAGGAAAGTTAGATTAAAAGGAAAGTTACATAAAAGCATATTCATCTTTGTTTTGACTGACTTTAATAATCAAATGCAAGAAAATTATTAATGGATGTTGAAATGCTATTCCAAATTTAAAAAAAAAGGCTGATGCATATTATAAAAGGTTGATGCAGTATTACTTCCTTCTTTCAGGTGGTAAAAATGATGATTGTGGTTGTGCTGACATTTGCCATCTGCTGGCTGCCTTACCACATTTACTTCATAGTTACTGGGATCTATCAGCAATTAAATCGGTGGAAATACATTCAGCAAATCTATTTGGCCAGCTTTTGGCTTGCCATGAGCTCTACCATGTACAATCCCATTATCTACTGTTGTCTTAATAAGAGGTAAGAGCTGGTTTGTCTTAATAAGAGGTAAGAGCTGATTATGGAACAGTTGGTATGTATAACTTCAATGAGAATATAAATGGTTTAAATGGGATAAAAGACAAAGAATTTTCACTTGAATAGTTTTCCGTTAGTGGGAAAGAAAACAAAACAAAACAACCCCTTCCTTTAGGTTTGGACTTGACTCCCAAAAAAACAAATGCACACTTTTAGTAAATACTTTCATCCACTTAAAATTTCAGAGCAAAATTTGGTATTCAGAAACCAACTGTTCCCATTTCCATATGCAAAACTTAAAATCTATGGCAGTTTAATATTTTTAGCTCGCAAAACATTAAAATAAAGATATAAAGACAATAATTAGTTATATACAGTGCAATCTGTATGTTCAGTAACTAATTGTAGCCACAAATTGTTTTTCAGTGCTGGAAGGATGTAATATAAAATGTGATTTACTGTGTATTTTATACCTCACCATTAGATTTCTACTGAGCTCTGAGGGCTGTAACAGGCTAATAAAACAAATATTTATATTCTCATTAGTCAATACTAAATTACAGTACTGTTTGATAGCAACACATTATGCTCTGAATTTCAAAGACACTGCACTTGTTGAGTTTGGTGAGATTTTACAGTTATTGGGCAGTGCGAGACTACTAGATTCCAGAATGAACTCATCTTTTTCATTTCAGCTTGTAGGACCAGGATCTAAACAAACATCATCCTTCCTGGCCATCTTATCTTTCAGTAGTTCTTCTAGTATTACTGGATAAAATCCACCAAGAACAATGAATTAGTTCACAAAAAAACCCAGTCAGTATGCATCAGTATTGAATAAGTATCTTAAATATTTGAAATCTCTTCTGAACAAGCAGACAATGTCATGTTTAAGTGCTGATAAGCTTTATACCAATTTTGTTAAATATTTATAAAACCTCACTAAAGATCATGTAATACCTATCAAAAGAACTCTAATTGAAAATGAAGTGAAGAAATCCTGCCAAGTTTTTATTAGTGTAAAAACACTGGAGTCTGCCTCTTTGATGAGGACAGCGTATGATGCTTAAAATTCATAGTGTTCTAAAATGTAAAGGTGTTGCCTGATTTCATACCGTGTTCTGCTCCTTTTGATCATTTTCAACTGTTTAAAGAAAAGGTAAAGTTTTAGTATGCCAAAACAAAAACCTAACCGAAATGACAAATTTCCCATTAATTTCAAGAGAAACCAGATTTCACTGGGTATCGAGTGTCTGCAAAATGAAAGGTAAGAAAGAAGTTGGCATCTTATTGTGCCAATTACTACTATAAAACCTCAAAAATATTGCTATTTTTGTTCAAAAACATTTTATGGCAGAGTTACAAAAAATATTATTCATAAAAAAATAGTATCTCTAATGTGGCTTATGTTGACACTCATACAATCAAATGTCTGCATTAAAGAATACAAATCAACAAAAAGTTCATAATTTTGAGACACACTAAAGGTCACGTTGCTCAGAATTTAATGCAAGAATGCTAGTGAAAGTTTTCTTATAATTAAGTTCCATATTGAAATCAAGACGCCGGAACGTCTGCTTCCTTTTCATGCAGTAGCAAAATACATGTGTTGCTGGGAGTCAAATCAATTCATGCAGTATTATTACCTCTGCTGGATCTAGTGTCCAACAGTTACACCACCTATCCTCAGCCTCATCTTCCAGGCTAATTAGGATATTACTTACGTATTTAGATAACGCATGAATGAGAAAAAGAATAGAAGGCGAGACAAAAAGCAAAACAGTCTAAAAATTAGGGTTTGCAGCTTCCTTCGCTAAATCCATTTCTATCAGAGGTTCTTTCAATATTTTTTCATAATGTGGACTGCATCTAAATGCAGGAACGCTTAATAGCAAGCTTTAAAAAATGAGGAGGAAAGTTATTTCTGTGAGATTGGCCAACTTTCACCGAAAACCTAATCTAAATTTTTATCCTTAGTCATCACTGTGGTAGCTGAACCATTGCTCCAAAAAGCTTACAGACCCAATAAACAACACAGCTGATGGTTGAAACAAAACCAAAAAAAAAAAAAAAGAAGCAAGACAAGTGAAGAAGTCTGATAAAATTTGGGTCTACATGAAAAGGTGTTCTCTTTTCAGGTTACAGAAAAAATACAGTGAATTGTTTTTCTAGCTTCTATTCCGGAAATATGGTTGAAAAAAAACCAAAAAAAAAAAAAAGAGAAGCAAGACAAGTGAAGAAGTCTGATAAAATTTGGGTCTACATGAAAAGGTGTTCTCTTTTCAGGTTACAGAAAAAATACAGTGAATTGTTTTTCTAGCTTCTATTCCGGAAATGCATACACACAGAAAGTAAAAACAGTCTTTACAGTAAATCTTGGTCTCTGAATTGAAATAAAATAACACTGTATGAGTATTGCAAGCACTAATGCGCTAGAGCCTCCAAGTTCCTGTCCGTATACTGTTCACATTCAGTTTTCAACCTTCTCGGATCTTTTTTAGTTATTACAAATTATTTTCCAAATATTTTACATGAACAATTATTAGTCATTACATCATTCCTATTTAAGCAACTCTGTTAGAGAGGAATACACATAGTATTTCAGAGAAAATAATTTTCCAAATTTTTTTGCTGAGAGAAGACAAAAATATAGGTACAGATTTCATCATATGTCAAATCAAAATAATTTCTGTGAAGACAACGGTATGAAAGCTGGTGTTTGTTTACTTAGGCACTGGCAAAGGAAATTGGGTATCAGGAAAATACCAATGTTAAAATGCAGGGAAACTATATAGACAATTAGAAACAGAAATGAGCTCTTACCACTATCTTTTTTACCCTACTCAGACTTTAGTCAAGCAAACTCCCACTGACTTCACCACAAAGAGGATTAAGGTCAAGACAATTAGCCAGCTCAGTGTCTTGTCAACACAGTATATGTTTTCAGATGGAGGCCTGTGGCTGGCTCTCACAAGCCCAGGCTTTCACCAAGCATCTTTCCTTCCAGGTTCCGAGCTGGCTTCAAGCGAGCTTTCCGCTGGTGCCCCTTCATTGAGGTGTCCAGCTATGATGAGCTGGAGCTCAAGGTAGCCAGGTTTCGTCCCACCCGGCAAAGCAGCTTATTCGCTGTATCCAGAATGGAGTCCAGCATGACAGTGGTGTTTGACACTAATGAGGGAGACAACACCCATGCCAGCCGTAAGAAAAGAGCAGCTCCCAGGGACACAAGTTTCAACGGCTGTTCACGGAGGAATTCCAAGACCATTTCTACAGCCTCAAGTCTCGTGAGTTCACTGCACACAGCAGTAGATGATTATTCCTAAGCATTTCATGGTGACACTAGAAGGGCAGCACTGGACAATGCTCTCCTACTTTGGGACTAGATATTCATCCCACAGGAAAGCAAACATAATTCTGCTGACGAATCCCAGCTATAAATATTGTGAGACTTTTAGGTGTCACTTTTCTGCTTTGGAGAGAAAGAGGAACTTGAAGACATATGTATGCGTTAACCTGAAAGCACAGTCGCACCTTATACAAGGTAACATTTGTTGTTATCTAAAAAGCCAACAGCATAAAAAACATTTTCAGCAGTATCTGACCCGTGGCATTTATGTTTCACTTTCTGAAATATAATATGTGCCTTTACTTACTGAAGCTGAAATGTACAATGTTTTCTATTACGAGTGTATTAATTCTACAATAACAAAATTACGGAAGATCTGGTTTAAAAAATTCTTTATAATGAAGACTTAATAAGCCCCAAGTCTACTCAATTATTTTACAATTTAGCCCCATTCCCAGGCAAAGAGACAAAAGGAAGTTTATGTGAATGAAGTTCAGCTCTGTCTGCAACAGTCCAATTTTTCAAAATATGTGAAAAATGTATTTTTAAAAAGGAGAAAATCTCTAAGAGACTAAGTCAAATTCTGCTGGCTTCTAAATGTGGGAGAACAAGGGGTTAACAGGATTGTGGAAGAAGCAGAGACCAATGGAATGTGTACTTCCAGGAGGATGCATTGCTTAGATGAAAATCCTGCAGCTTTGTATCTCAGCGCTAAGGGTAAGATCTTCCTCCAGTGACCCTAACAGCTTTACCATTGACTTTAGAAATATCAAAAGATTTTAAACTGGAGAATCACATATAAGAAAATTATCACCGTGGCAATTAAACTCTTCTCTGCAGAAAATATAATAACATGTTTCACTATGAAACACCTTCACCAGAGAAAAAAAAAATTGTTATTTTCCCAAATTTTCCATAGCTAGCTGCATGTAAAGATACTTCTCTGCCTGCATCTGAAAACATTAGGGATTATTACACAGACACTTTCCCACCCAATTCAGTCAAAATCCACTGACCATCACTGCTGCAAATAAAGCTGAACTTAATTTAAAAAAAAAAAAAAACACAAAAAACAGAGAGCCTTTGATTTAGATAAATGGCTATCTATACCTGTTGTGTGGAGCAACTGGTAGTTGTGAATGTTTGTTCTCAGTTAATCAATACTTCAGCAGAAGAATGTGAATGCCAGGTGTCAGACCAGCACAGGAGAGTGTATAAATGGCTCAATCCAACACAAACCAAAGCTGGGCAATTAACAAAGATTGAAGAGAGAAAGTCTCGAGCTGGCTTTAGTCCACATTCCTTCTGAGCAACTGGGGGTGCCCGATATTGTGGCAGTGAGCATATCAAAAAAGACTAGTAATGAGAATCATGTTTGTATTGTGATTCATCTATATCATCAATTGCTATGTTCTGCTAAATGTAATTTGTATTTGTATTGTGATTTCAGAGCATTACTGTATCACTCTGCTAAATCAAAATCCTGCATAAGGTCAAATATCCTCAGATAAGTAAATTTGGTATTTAACGTTAAACCCTCATGGACAGAATAACTGAAGAAGCTGGTCATAGACTATTGTACTCTGATTAAAATGTATCACAATTCCAGACTCACACTTTTCCTATCCAAGGCCTGATTTTAAATCCACTGAAGCAAAAATCTCTGTTCATTAATGGCTTTCCTTTTAAAGGCCAGTTCAGGCTTTTCAATGGTCTGCATTTCTGAAAAAAACAGCTCTGTTTTCCATCGTGCCACAATTGTACACTCCCTTTTCCTTTAAAAAAAAAGTGTACAGTAATCCAGCGTCATGCAATGCATATAATTTTTTTTTTTAATTTTTACCCTGAAATGCTCTGTTTTAATAATTTAAAATCTGCACAGGGGTTTAACAACTCTGCTGAGAAGATTCAGGATAGCCGTACACACACAAAAAAAATGAACCTAAGCATATTAAGCTGATGGTGATATGTTACAAACACATGCTCTAAAGTCCTCTGTCTGCTCATGTATAACTTTTGAGGAACATACATACAGAAAATGTATAATTGTTAAATAAACTGTTTTTTCTAACTATGGCTATTACAAAATCAGTTGATAAACATCAATACACAAATGTAAGTTTGAACAATATGGTTGTAGTGAGATCAATTTATTGTCTCTAAATGCACAAATATTAAAAAACTGTATAAAAAATAGAGCATCACAAATGTGCAAAACATCATCCTCTCATAAGTTTTATGATCCTTGGTTGGCAAATACTGAGGAAGCAATGGTGGCTTCCTCACAACTGTGTCTTTAATTAGTGAAACAATTTCACTTTACTAAGTATTTTAGGATATGGCATTCTATCCATTGATAATCTCACTGTGTTTTGGTGGTGTAGGGCTGTGAAAAACACCCTCAACATTCCTCTAGTTCTCCTCTGAAGTCACCAGATATTGCTGTAAAACAAATGAAGAAATAGACAGAGAGAGTAGGACTGAGTGCATCCTTAGGAAGCTTGCAAATGATACCAAGCTGAGCAGTTGACACACTCAAGGGACAAGATGCCATCCAGAAGGACCTGGACAAGCTCAAGAAGTGGGCCCATGTGAACCTCATGAGGTTCAACGAGGCCAAGTGCAAGGTCCTGCACTTGGGTTGGAGCAACCCCCAGTATCAATATAGACTTGGGGATGAAGGAATTGAGAGCAGCCCTGACGAGAAGGACTTGATGGTACTGTTGGATGAAAAGCTGGATATGGCCAACCATATTCTGGTGTGCCTCAAAAGATGTGTGGCCAGCAGGTCAAGAGAGGTGATTCTGCCTCTCTCTGCTTCACTCTGGTGAGAGTGCACCACTGTCGTGTCCACCTCTGGAGCTCTCAGCACAGGAAAGACATGGACCTCTTGGAGCAAGTCCAGAGGAAGGCCACAAAAATAATCAGGGGGCTGGAACACCTCTCCTATGAGGACAGGCTGAGAGAGTTGAGGTTGTTCAGCCTGGAGAAGAGAAGGCTGCAGGAGAGACGTTATTGTGGCCCGTCAGTACTTAAAGCGGGCCTAAAGGAAAGATGGGGGCAAACTTTTTAGCAGTGCCTGTAGCAATAGGACAAACATTTTCAGTAAGTGTCCTGGTCACTATAAAATTCATTGTAGGCCTCCTGACACCCCTGACTGGAGGTAGAGGAAATCATGTCACACTCAGTTTGTGCCACTAACATCACTCAAAGCAGTAGGCTGCATGCAGTGCACATGCTTCTGTGTGATTGCTGGTGCAGCACTGCAACAGTCTCACCTCTGAGCTGCAACCTTCAATCCCCATTCTTTACTTTTGCTGAGAGGTGAGTTAAGGAAAACAGACAGATAAAGAGCTTCCTACTGAGAGGGGGATAAAAATACTTTAAAACAGCTACAATTCAACAGCATCAGAAGAGATCTTCTAATCTTCAAAGTCTTCTGAAACATGAATTCTTCTATATGAGTTCCTACTACTTCAGTCCAGGCTCCTACTGGAGTCTGCCTCTAAAATGTTTACCAAATTAAAAGACGGCATTGCTTCCTGAACTGCCATTTTGCAGTGAGGTTCCCTTGGTTTAAATTTCACATCTCCAGAGACAGTATTTTTTAGCATCAGTTTTCCCTGTCATTCCCTTGACTTAGGCTAAACTTATACAAAAAGAATTAAACCAAAAAAAAAAAAGCCAAAGTGAAAAAAGCTAAATATGACCACTTTTAAATGCAGATCTTCAAAATTCATTTCACAATACAGATTTGCCATTCCTCAAATCTTCCATAGAAAAGCATGATGGTGAGAGGAAAAATGAACTCCAAGTAAGCTCGGGTACTCATACAAGATGTGTTCAGTAAATTGCAGCCTGTAGCTATTCAGCAGGGATCCCTTGGCGGGCTCCCTTCCAGACCACTTCAGTCTTAATGTCAGTGTTGGGAGGCAATGGCAGAACTGCATGGAATGAGCTATTTGCAGTACATTTATGTCTGGTAACTAAATGTGTCCATTGAGGAAGGTCATTGACCAATACTAATATACATTTTCAAAAATAACATACAAAAGGAACTAGTATAGAAAAGGAAAGCAAAACACAAGCTTTAGAAGTTGCCTCTCTTTTTTTTTAATATAGGTAAAAACATTCCAGTGTTTTGGATGTGGATGTTTCTCCTTTAATAGCGGTGAATTTCTTTCAGAGCAGTAAACAAGAACCTCCTATTTCATTGACATAAATTTCAGAGCCTTTCAGGCTGTTCTCTCCAGGAACTACAGAGCTTATAGAAACACTTGTTCCTGTTGCATTTATTTTAAGACTTTTGAAGCTGTCCCAGCTCAGGTAGAAATTTAAATCTGCTGTACTACCTCTAGTTCAACATGAGCTTTAAATTTAAAATCCCAGTTAATATGTGCTGTTTGTTAATGAATACCTCCACATACTGCTACAAAAGATGCAGGAGATAACAGCCTAGGATACACCACTTTACAAATGATGTGTGAATTCCTTGTATTAAATAATGCATTCAGTTCAAGTTAAGTCTCCCTGTTCATGAACAGATTCAAGTAGTTCTGTGTTCATAATTCAAAATGATTTGTTGAGTGCAGTCAATGATAATCTTTATCAGTCCATGAGCAGTTGCCGTGGCTATTTAAATTCAAATTGTTTCAGATGGGTTCATATATCACATGTTATACTGTTATTGCCTCTCTCCCATCTATAAGACTGAAACATGCATACTGGATTACAACTGGAATCAGATTTCCCAAAGCAAATGGTTACGTTTATAAATACCAAACTTGCCTGTTATGAGTACTCTGTAACATGGCCTCTGGAACCACGGTTTCCAAGTAGTAGTTTTTTCACTGCAGTATTTGTGATGCCAACGAAACAGCATCAGTCACATGAATTGTATTTTCAAAAGCACACTCACTTTGAAAATTCATGTTGCTCAGCCTGCTTGGATTTACATGCTTTAGATTATTAAAAAACCTAATCATTTCATCAATAGGCATTCACTAGTGCTACAAATATGTTAACACTTGAAATACTCAGCAGCTCTTCTCTAACATTGCTCACAAATTCGTATGCAAATGAGAGTAACAACAGATAGCATCTGTAGATACTACACACACAAAAACTTCAGGCAAGCTTCTTCCTGAATGCAAGGAAAAACTTCTCACAGAGCATCTCCAGATTGGCAGAGGTTCTGCCAGATGAGGTCTGACAAGTCGAGGACAAGGAAAGCTTCCAGCACCAAAGGACTTCACAGAGCAGCCCAGCCAGCAGCTCTTTCCTGTCTGCAATGCTGAAACCTGCCTTTTAGACATTAACTGAAAACCTGAAGGCAGCCAGTAACACCTCCAAGATCAAAGGTGCTGCTTTTCCTTGGCCTGAAGCTCTATGCAATAGGGCCTTACACTACAGAAAGGAAGCTTTGTGCTCAGAGGTATTGTTAGATTTGTAATCCC